TCCCTGTTTCTGTTTTTGTCTTATTTTCCTTTTAAAATTAAAGAAATTATAGGTGCCAGCAGGTGGTGTGGTGGTTAAGGCGCTTACTACCACAACTACAGTTTGAGTCCTTGACCTGGTGGCTTGCTTTCTCACTTTACCTGTCTTTGTCTCCCTCTGGTGAGTACATATGCCCTAGAGTAAATTTAAAAATAATATTGATAATAATAATAAATAAAATTAAATAATTCTTAAAAACGATTAAAGAAATTACAGTATGTTTTTTGTGCTAATGTAAATGATTATAATAGATATGGACAAGTTGATGTGGCAGAAGACAAAGAGTAACTGTTCTAAAAGTGTCTTTAAAATGATGAGAAGAGGGCTGGCAAGTGGTGTGATAGTTGAGGGCGTTGGACTCCCACATGGTCAACTGCGGTTCGAGTCCCAGACCTGACGGCTTGCTTTTTCAGTTCCTGTCTCTTTTTCTCTCTCTCTCTCTCTGTCTCCCTCTGGTCAAATTAAAATAAATAGATAAATGGATAAGTAAACTTAAATAAAATAATTTTTTAAAAAAAAACATAAATGAATGAGATTTAGTACACAAGTGAGAGTACTAGCCTTAAGTAAAGGAACAGAAAGTTCATGTAACCTAACAAGAATAGGCAGAGTAAGAACAGATGTAGATAGGCAGATTGATGATGCTGCAGGAGTTTGTAAAGATCCCCTCTGATTGCTTCAATTTTCTCACTAAAATCAGTTCAAGGCAATTATCTAAGAATCAGGAAAGGAGAATTATAATAGTCATGATCATTATGCAACTAATAACTTAGCTCTAAAGTAAATAAACAAAAACCAGCAGACAAACAAAGAGAAATAATAAATCCATAGCCAGAGCAGAGGACCTAATATGAACAGTCACAAAATAAAGACAGAGAAGAGAGAAAGAACATAATTAAAAGGTAGGTAGACAGAGAAAACTGAAATAAAATATTTATCCATTTATCACATTAACATAAAACTGGAAATAAAAGATGATAGATAACCCTAGAACTAAGTAACTAAGATACTTCTATAAAATTTTTGTTATAAAAGGAAATAAAACTTACAAACCATTTAGAACTACCAAAAGCAACTTTGGGAGTTCTTTTGTGAAATCCTGTAAGAATTCTCTAAAAGTTGTACTCAGAGAAAACTTACAGTCTTAAATTCATTTATTAGAAAATAAGAAATAATTAAAAACTAGACAACAAAGATTCTAACTCAAGAAGAGAGAAAAAAGCAAACTGAATCAAAACAAAATGATAAGCTACATAAAAACCAGAAAATGAATAAGCTAGAAGTTTAAAAAGACTAGAAATAGCAGAACTAAAATTCAGCTAATTAAAAATACCAATAAATAGGGACCAATGGATGGCATAGCAGTCATGTTACAAGGCGACTGCAGTTCGAGTCCCCGACCCAATGGCTTTAAACTTATGTTGGGCATGTGTGTGTGCTTGCCAAGATCCCAAAAGGAGAATGAAGGAGAAGAGATTGTAGCATGGCCATCCCCTGAGGGGTGATTTCTCACTTTTTATCTCACTGTCTTTATCTCTGTCTGTCTCTCTCTGGAGAGCACACACCCTGAGGCAAAAACCTCTTTAAAAAAAAACCAATAAGTAATATAAAAATTTGACATGGAGAAAAAAATCAGATTGGGCACAAATCTAAAACACCTGAAAGGACAAGGAAGAAAAAAACAATATTAAGGAGTTAAAAAGGTTTTATGTGGGACCAGCAGATGGCGTAATGGTTACGTTGCTGGACTCGGACATAGTCGACTGTGGTCCAAGTCCCAGACTCAGTGGCTTAAAACTCATGCTGGGTGTATGTGTATGTGTGCCCAAAATTCCTAGAGAAGAATGGAAGAGAAGGGATTGCAATGTGGCTGTCCCCAGTGAGGGGTTATTTCTCCTTTTCTGTCTCTCTGTCTCTCTCAAGTGAGCACACAAGCCCTATAGCAAAAATCTCTCTTAAAAAAGATTTTATGAGAAAAATCTATATATGCATGGAGAGCGGCCAATCTGAGCAAACATGGTGACCTTTAGACTCATACAAAAATGTGCTTTTGAGCTTCATTTGCATGGCTATGAAAGTATTTGCATACGAAAACACTATCTGCCTGTTGTTGTTCATACCGATACAGCAGAGCAGTATCAGACTAAAGGAAGCCATATGTGTTTAACAGATTTTGTCCCCCAAAAATCAGAAAAATTACATGGCACCAGTTGTCTTTGTATCCCATCTCCTCTTCCCCCATTTTCTGCCCTTTAAAAGAATAAACCTGAGGACAGTTCCTGGTTGGGGCTTTCTCCATTAGAGAAATCAGGCCCACCTGATCCTTGCTTTTCTATATTTGTGTGTCTTTTTGTGTTTGTTACAGTTATTCCTAATCCATAGCCTCCCCATTCAGAATTCATGTTCTATTGAGTGGGTCCCGGCATATATGACTCAAGTGTAAATTAGAAAAGCTAGATGAAATAAATGAAAAATAAAACAAAAAATAACTCAGAGAGATAAAAGTTTTTTGTACACCCATAAACACTTGAGAATTTAAAATATGGGGACCAGCAGATGGCACAATGGTTACATCACTAAACTCCCATACAGTCGACTGCGGTTCAAGACCTGGACCTGGCAGCTTAAAACTCACACTGGGCACATGTGCATGAGTGACCAAAATCCCAAGAGGAGACTGGAGGAGAAGGGATTGCAGCATGGTCATCTCCCCTGAGGGGTGATTTCTTGCTTTATGTCTCTGTCTCTCTATGTCTCTCTGGTGAGTACATGTGCCCTATAGAAAAACCTCTTAAAAAAAAAAGATTTTAAAATCTGAATTCAATGTAATACTGGCCAGAGCATCCAAACTATTAAAATATATGCAATTTTAATTATACATAACTGTTGTTGAACATGCAAAAATGATGGAAATCTACCCAAGTCATTTTACAAAGTTAGATGAATGTAACAAAATTGGAAAAAGAGCACTCAAGAAAACTAAGTCAATATCATAAATAAACATACATAAAATTTTAAAATAAAGTATTAGCAACATGGAACCTAGTTGTGTATTTAATGACTAACACATCATAATCAAATAAATGTTATCCTACAACATCAGACAATCTATTTTTCCACATGAAGAATCCTGCTAGGGATGCTACTGAATATATCAATAGTTTTTTAAAAAGGGAAGAAAGAGAAAAGGGAGAGACAACACACTGTATATAGAGAATAAAATGTCCACCTAGAAATTCAATATTATCACAGAAGGATTATTAGAAATTTCTATAAAATTATTATCAATTTATAGAAATCAATACTTTGTCTTATACAATATCAGTATTAGCCATTTGGAAAATGTCACTGAACCAAACAGTCCTATTTATAATATGAACAAAATTTATAAAGTAGTAAAAAAAATTGCTTGAAAAGAAATATTTTAGATTGTTTATGAAAAAGCAATAAAACATTACAGAGCATATAAAATGGAAAAGCAGATTTAGCATGTTCAAAAATAGAAGGATTCAATATTGTTAGTACAAGGTATGTCAGTTTTCTTGAAAAATAATTATTATGCTGGATAAAACAACTAATATCTTTTTTAAAGTATGCTTTTTAAAAGAAAGTAAAAAAGATCCAGAGACTAGCAGATGGCATAACAGTTATGTCACTGGACTCCTACATAGTTGACCATGGCTCAAGTTCCAAACCCAGTAGCTTAAAACTCACACCAGATGTGTGTGGGTGTGTGTTCAAAATCCCAAGAGAAGAATGGAGGAGAAGGGACTGTGGCATGGCCATCCACCCCAGCAGGGTGATTTCTCACTTTCTGTCTCTGTCTTTCCAGCTAACACAGACACCCTAAAGCAAAAATCTCTCTCAAAAAAAAAAGAGAAAAAAAAAAGAAGATCCAGAGGTGACATAGCATAGTGAAAACCAGAAACTAGAGACTTGCTCTGAAGTCACAGGTACCCTTGGGACATTTCCTGACTGTAATTGCTTAAAGTTTGTGTCTTTTTTTTTTTTTCCCCTCCAAGGCATGTATGCTCACCAGAGACACAGAGGCAGAGAGAGAGGGAATCTAAGAAATCATCTCCTCAGGAGAATGGCCACACTGCAATCCCCTCTTGTCTATTTTCCTTTCAGGATTTTGGGCATGTGCACATATACACACCTAGTGTGTTTCCCAAACTGTCATGTCTGAGACTTGAACCACAGGGTCAGCTAAGTGGGATTCAGTGCCTCAACCACCACACCACCTGATGGCCCAAAGTTTGAATCTTGATGCCCTGGAGAAATTGAAGAAATAGTTCTTGGGCCCAGAAAAAGAGTAGGGATTAGGGATAAACCTCTTTACAAAACTGGAACTATCCAAGGCCTACAGTTCAGAAAAAGGGGAAAATATCTATCCAAATGACAAGGACTATCTCAGTCCTGGCCTAGACTCTCAATTAAAAGGAGGGGAAAAAATGCTTTGGATAATTCATCTTTATACAAGAGCTGTCAAGCATACAAGAAGTAATAAAATTTACCTGTCCCCCAGAAGCTAGAATTGTTGCATGAAGTATAGTATAGTTGCTTGAAATGTATGAGAATATAAAATGAGAAAGGAGTCTCTTAAAAATAAAAAAGATCAGAGCCAGCAGGTGGCATGGTACTTGAGGTTCTAGACTCCCACAAGGTGGTTCAAGTCCCAGACCCGGAGGATTGAGATTCACGCCAGACGCATGTGCGTGTGTGCCCAGGATTCCAAGAGGAGACTGGAGAAGAAGGGATTTCTCACTTTCCCTCTCTCTTTTTCTGTCTCTCCAGCAAGCACATGCACCCAATAGCAAAAATCTCTCTTAAAAAGTAAATAAAATAATAAAAATGATCTATGACAGAAGGAAAATATTGAAATGAAACAATACAATTACATTAAAATCTTAAGAAAAAATATCTTAAAACCAGCTAGAGAGAAAATACAGATTACTTACAAAAGGAATAACAATGAAATAGATGGCAGACTTCTCAAGAGCAACAATAGAAGCCAGAAGACAGTGGGATAATATCTTCAGAGTGCTGAGAAAAAAATAATTGTCAGTACAGTTTTACACCCAGTTAAATCAACAGGCAAGAATGGCAGCACAACAAGATTATTTTCTAGTTACAAAAATTAAAACTGCAAGTTTTTACTAACAACAACAACAACAAAAACCTTTTCTAACATATTAATGACAAATAAAATGATCCCAGAAGCAAGGTAGAATGGTAGAGAAATGAAATGCAGATTAAAGGATAATATGTGAATAAATCCACAAGCAAATATCGTCATTATAAAAAATAACAATGATGCCCATTTTGGAGATTAAAGGAGAACAAAACAAAAATATCAGACAACAATAATGTATTAAATTGGAGAAGATGATCAAAATGAAAGCACTCTAAGATCCTTATATTGTCCTGAGGGAAGACAGACATTAATTTTAGCCTTTATTGAATTAAGTATGTTATTTGTTAAATGACACAAACAATGATAATAATTAAAGTATCAAAACAGGCAGGAATGTTCCCAAAATATTTATCTTCACCAGTAATGGCAGAAATCTTATTTCATTTTTTATCAACAAGATATTTTAAGTTATAATATTCAGTGTACAAAGGTATTTCAAGTTATGATGGTAAAAGTATAAAAAAATTTATACACTGCTACTACATTCCTATTAAAAATTCTGTAACAATGCAATCAAGATGTCCATTTCTTATCTCTCTATGCAACTTCAAGTCACTGCCATAACCACCACCAATTTATTTCATAATAGATACTATCCTTTATATCTATGCTTTTCAACTTCTTCACCTTAAAAACCTACAAGATTTTAAAATATAAGGCATTTGGCTTATTTTAACACTTGTATAAATCAGTATGTAAATCAAATAAACTGTGTGTATGGATTAAAGAAAATGTTTTAATATCCATGAAATATGTATAATTTTTCAAACCCATTACCATTAATAAAAACAGCAAAACTTGTGACTAGCATGTAGCAAAGTGGTTGAGGCACTCGAATCCCACGTGGCCAAGCAGAGTTTGAGTCCCGGACCCAAAGGCTTAAAATCACACTGGATGTGTACATACATGGCCAAAATCCCAGGAGAATAGAGGAAAAGGGAATTCGGAGGAAAAGGGAATTCAGTGTGGCTATCTCCCCTAAGGGGGGATGATTTCTCACTTTCCCTCTTTCTGTCTCTCTCTCTCTCTCTCTCTAGCAAGTGTACATGCCCTATGGCAAAGAAATCTTTAAAAAAAACAATATAACTTCATTCACATTGAAAGGAATTAGGTGCATCTGACAAAAATAATCAAGATAATCTTTTTTTAATAATTATTTTCTATTTTAACTTTATTATTATTATTATTTTCCAATTAGATCAGAGAGAGACAGAAAGAGAGAGAGGGAAATTGAGAAAGCAAGTCACCAGGTCCGGGACTCAAATCACAGTAGGCTATGTGGGAGTCCAGCATCCTTAACCACTGCACCACCTGCCAAATCTCAAGATAATCTTTACATGCATGTAAATACTACACATTTTCCAAACTAAACAAGGGGGGAAATGGAATTACAATTTAAAAAACTTATAAATCATCCTGATTAAAGAAAGAGAATTAAAAATTAAGATTAGAATATAAAGAGTTAAGCAGAAAACATAAAATAGGGGAGAAATAAAGCCAAGCATATAATTAATAACACTTAATTGGAGTATGCCTTCAAACTCGAAAAATAAATTCTCAGATAATACCATATTACAGTGGTTACTAAACATGTTTAAATATTTGAACAACCTAGGGAGTTTTAAAAAATGACAGTGCGGCCAGCAGGTGACATGGTGGCTGAGGCGCTGGACTCCCACACGGCCAACCACAATTTGAGTCCTGGACCTGGCAGCTTGCTTTCTCACTTTCCCTTTCTCTCTGGTGAACACACATGCAAATTATAAAATGATAATAATAAATAAAATTAAATGTTAAAAATATTATATATTAAAAAAATAATGATACTGTGTCCTATGTGAAGAGATTGTAAGAGATTATTTGGTCTGGGCTGTAGCCTGGACTCTGTAATTTTTAGAAAGATCCCAGCTCTTTCTAAACTGCCTATAAGTTTGGAAACTGTTTCTGTATTGTTTTCCAAAGTGATTATGCCAATTGATACTTAAAAACAATGCATCTCTACCCAGATATAATTTATATACTTACAATTCATTCATTAAAGTGCACAATTGAATGGTTTTTGTATACTCAGAGTTGTACATCAATCGCCACAATCTAATTTTTAACATTTTATCAACCTAAAAAGAAACATTGTGCCTATCAGTAGGCCCTTCCCATTTCTCCTTTCTCCACTCCATTCTCTAGTCCTCTTTACCCTCAGTGCTGGACAACTAGTAATAATCTAATTTCTGCCTCTATATATTTGCCTAATGTGGGCACTATATAAATACAATCATAAAATATGTACACTTGTGTCTGATTTCTTTTACTTAGCATGTTTTTCAAGATACATGCATGTTGTTCCAGGTTCATCCATTTGTAGCATGTATCAGAAGTTCATTCCTTTCATTGCTGAATAATATTCCAGTGTAAGCATGTATCAAATTTTATTCATCCATTTATCAGCTGACAATCATTTGGGTTGTTCCTACTTTCTAGCTATCGTGGATAACAAGGTATAGAGCATTTCTGCCTTCAAATGTTGTGAATGCTTGGTACTGTCAGACTGATTAATTTTTGCCAATCTAAGGCATGTGAAATAATTTTCTCACTGTTTCATTTTTTTTCCAAGATAGCCTCTTGCTATGTCACAATACTCCTGGCTCATCTCCCTGCTATATTACAGGTGCATCAGTAAGCTCGGCTCTTTTTTTCACAGGGTCTCTGTATTGTCTGGGCCAGTTCAGAGCTTGAGATCTTCCTGACAACCTTCCCAAGTCACTGGGTTTACAGGTGCATGCCACCACTCCTGGCGTTTAGGTTGGACCTGCAATCAAACCTGGCTTCTCATTTGGTTCCAGCCTGCCAGGCACAGCACCTTAGCAGTATTTGCCACTGTGGCTGGGCCTCTCACAGTGGTTTTAGTTTACTACACTTGATCTTAGCTAAAAAGCCAAAAAGTACCTGTGCATATATGTCCAAAATCCTAACAGGATAGAGAAATGAAAGAGAAGGAAATGCAGCATAACCACACCCCATGGGGTGGGGGGGGGGTTGCTTTCTCCTTATCTCCATTCGTTTTTCTGTCTCTCTGATAAGCACCAGGTGCCTATATGTAACCACTGCAATGTGTGTGTGTGTTTTCTTTAGAAAGATTTTTGTTACAGGGCATGTGTGCTCGCCAGAGAGACAGAGACAGAGAGACAGAAAGTGAGAATTACTCCCCCAGGGAAGAAGGTTAGGCTTCAATCATCCCCTGGGGGAATGGCCACACTGCAATCCCTTCTCTTCCACTCT